ACATGTGTGCAGCTATCCGATCCGAATTAAGTAATTCTGAATTTTCATTGAGCATAACACTGTATATTCCTATATGCATATTACAAATAGTACGCCGATAAGAATCGATGCGAGTATTCATTTATAATACTAATACAGCAGACGAGATAATTATTTTATTGTCATATACTCGTAAAATAATGTTATATATATACATAAAATTACATTCCGAAAGTTTGGCCATATAGCGTATATTCTGTGTGCTCGACACAGTATAATATAATTACAGGTCATATTCTATTACATATTATATACGTTATGCCGGAAATAATGTTATTGGATGCGTTATTGGGTTAAGTAGTGGTTGTTATAAGTGGTTCACGTATATACTCGGATGTATAAAACAGATAATGCGGTTTTATGACCACCGAAAGTGTTGGGCGTTTCACTTTAAATTCGTCCTAAGTACCTATACAGACGTGATATATAGATAGCTCCATGCCGTGCTGAAGGGCGATGTAGACTATATATATATATATAGATATATGTGTGTGTGTGTGTAATAATATCGGTGGTCGATGACGTACATACTATAGGTAATTAAATGAACACGTCCTATACGTGTGTTGTGTATATACATGTACACGCCTGCACACATATGCAGTTACGTTACATGAGTATATTGTTATACTTAAAGGTTGCATATGGAGGGCTCGTCATCCCTCGTGCACGATGGCCGTCCGTTTCATTAGTGGTCCATTGAAATCGAGACCTAGGTAATTGTACTTGAATCTCTCCCGCGAGACGAGTTACCGAATATTATTTTTCTCTCTTCGTTCATCCGATAACCCGGCTTATCTATATTTTAAATGACAGGGGCAGTCGACATGAGTACGTTCGCAAGCCATACGAATAAATACAATAGAGCTAAAATGTTTATAAATAAATAGGTATTATAAACGTTCATACATTTTATAAATGTTTATCAAACAATTTAAATTCACAAATAATAATAAGTAAATTTTGATTTTATAAAAAAGACGCAAGCAGTATCTGACGACAAGAGATGTATGTTACTCGTAAACCTCAAGTTGGCCGTCCCCGGTGTATGGTATAATACGTAGTATCGTTATGTATGAAATACTCTTATATTATTGTTATTATTAGTGGTGGTAATAATAGTATTGTGGCTGTATAAACGTCGAGAACAATTACCGGTAATCATTTTAAACACCATATCGACAATAGATCTATACCTGTAATCGTTAAGAGATGTTCTCGCTTCGTATTAGTTTGATACATTTAAACAAATAATAATATACCTATATATTGTGATGGACGATGGTATTGTGTATATTTATCATTAACATTACGTATAATATCGTATAGTTACCGATATCAAAAAAGGATTCATATGATATTTTATATATCTATAAAACTTATTGTGTTTCCTATAATATTGTTTAATTATTTAAATTTTTTAATATTGTTAACAGTAATTTATAGTAGGTAAAGTAATTTATTTTATTGTTAGCAATACAATAGGTTAATTTAATTTTAGCCAAAAACATTGTACTTCTTAAATTATCAATATTTGTTTATTATAGCAGTATATTATATGTTATTGCTATTAATTTTTAAATCAATATTGATTTACCGTAAAACGGTGTGAATAGGTTTTTGGTATAAATAGGCAACAGTTTAAAATTAATTTAAATGTTTTTAAAACGTCATTGTGTACGAGTATATGAATTAATATAATGATATACTTACCTACGTAAAAGTTTTGATTTTCTTTGAACAACGTTTTTGTTTTTTATGTTAGTCAAATAAATTAACATCGATATTTATTGTTTAAATTTGTAATTTTATTAAAATGTTTTAAATCTAAAATACATAACAAATAAAAAGTTATAAAGTACGAGTAATACATAAAAATGCTTTTACTACCTAATGATTAAATGATTCATATATTATATGCAATATAATATATAAATGTTAAATATATATCATCAATACATGTTCTAATAGATCATATTATTATAAAAGTGTTTATTTATAATATTCAATTCAAGTCGTCCGACTACTTGAATAAATACCATATATGTTTAATTTTAATAATTTGAACCACAATTTCATGGTTTGATTTTCTCGTTCTTTTTTTAACCTTTTTTCGTTTCACTATTGTTACACATAAGTCTGCTTTGGTTGATTATTTTATATGATGGTACTAAATCCATTGAAACAAAATACATACAAACACCAGCTGCTGTGTTATAGCACTTACTAGCAGGTTAATACTTAATAATTATTGCACACAACCACAACTACGCCTACACTATAACTCTATTTTATTACAACACGCATAGTACGACGATCAATGACATAATGAGAGTGTATAATATTATAATAATATATGCGTAATAGCTTCGTGAATCGTAATTGTAGTATAGGTACATATTGTTAAAGCGCATGCACACTAAAATGTCCGGATGTGAACGAGGAGAAAAAAAATGAAAAAAAATTGCGGCTAACGGTCGGTGGTCCAATATAATACATACCGTGTATATGCCTACCTCTAATCGTAATGATGACGATTGTACAATATATATAGCTAAATTATATAAATATGAATAACAATAATTGACAGAAAATCGGGTCTATTCGCTTGTGAATGAAAATGATTTCTCTTTTTGTTGTTTTTTTTGTTTATCCGACAAAAAGTCAGTTAGACCCACTGGGATACTCGATGGGAGGTTTGTTTTGTGAACGGAGACCACACTGGGTGCAACGGGAACGCTAGTTCAAAGGAAAAATGAATAAAAAAATAATAATAATACATAAACTCGTATATTATAATATATATATAAATATATAGTATACTATCTATAATAGTTTGCAATTTTTTATTTTTAAATATTACGGGGAATGGTTAATAAGAAAATATATCTTAGATTTGAAAGTGAAGTATAATATTTACGTAAATGCACGCATTATCGAAATACGTCATTGTGACAGATTATTTGGCTTACATATTATAATACAATTATTTAGGAATATTTTAAGTGTATATAATAGGTTACTTTATATAGAATTAATACTTAATTAATACTTGAAAAGATAAATTCATCTCATTACTACTCAAATTATTTTTTGGCAAGTATTTTATAGTTGCAGTAGAGTCTCGCTGATCCAGACATCCGAATAATTCGAAAAATGTATATTTCATACTTTAGTACTTATGTATACACATAAATATTATAAAATAATATTAGTAAGTTGATAAAAAAGCCATTTCATTTAATCTGGATAAATTCCTTTCTCCCCTGTCCGGATCAGCAAGTCTCTATATTGTACACTATAATCTTTAGACATTTTTTTTCTACACAATAAATTGAATTCTGCTAGCATAATGTTCTAAACAAAAAATAATATTTTAAATATTGAGTAATTTATAATAAAATTGTATGTGTTTACACACATTATTACAAATTCAACCTTTTTTTTAATAATATAAATATATAATTTATAAGTTATAACATACTCATTAAATTATAGCCATCCATAGCGTTAAAATTAATTTAGAAATGTTCTTAAAATTTAAATAAGAAACTTAAAAAGTATAGACTATTGTTTTATTGTGACATTGTGTTATTATGGTTTATGTATGATTAGCTATTAGCATATAGGTATAGGAAAATATAATAAACTTATCAACACTGTATGTTAAGATTATTTATTTTACTTACAAAATATTATTAACGAGAATATATAAGGTAAAATATTGAAGATGATATTCATTAAATTGTATTAAAACTTGATTATTAGGATAATGATTTCCTAAAATATCGCTAATATGATATGAAAAATTACTATAAAAGATGATTCACTAAGAATGCTGACTCATATTATTTTTTTTAATAATGCATTTATTAAGTTCTGATTTTTGAGATTTTTAACTTAATTTAAAAACCATATTTTTATATTCTTGAAATTTTTTAACTATTTAAGAGGTGTCTTGTGGTGATAAAAACTTTTATTTCTCAAATTAGAATCCTCCTTTTACACTTGAAATTATATGGTAGATACATTTTTTTTTTAATATTTTGATGTACCAAATTAAAAATAGGTATGATTAATTTTTCAGTTATTTAAATGATTATAATAAGTATAACAGTCCTTATGAAGAGTTTAAAAATATATAAAATATAATATCTGATGTTGAATCTAGTATTTATTATACTTAAACCATTTTTACAAATTATAAATTATGGGCGTTACTTAATATTTATGTCTATAGCCTCCATACATTTTAAACCCATTATCATAGATTTATTATCTTTAGTAAACAATGTTAAAAAATTCAAAAAATATTCATTGAATTTTGATAGGTATGTCAATATTTTCAAAAAAAAAATTAGTCGCTAAACAATTATTTATAGTAGAAAAATGAGAGTTTTTATTTGCAAAGCATAAATTTGTTTCTTCACAGGACATTCCTTAAGTAGTATCAAAATATCAACAATTTTAAATAGTGTTTTTAAATAACCGAAAAAATTTAAAACTCGAATCAATTAATTATTATATGTAAAAATGGAAGTGAACAGTATTTATGAATCAACCTCATATTTTAAATGTTTTAATTCGTCAAAAAAACTAACAAAATAATTATAAAAATTTTATTTGTACTTAACTTATTTAAAAACATTGTATGTCAAGAATCCTACAAATAATTATTTTATATGTATATTATATAATGTATATAATTTAAATTAATATTGATATTTGGTAATAAAATGCTATATACTAAAGCTATAATACCCGTTATAAAAGTGTTATATAGCAGGTATAAAATAATATTATTGTATTTTATAAAGACCAATAATAAAGATTAATTTGGTTAAGATTTACAATATGTAATCATCTGTATGAATAATATTAAGCCTAAAACTTAAACCGACTTTCCATTTATATAAACGCGTCTTATGTTTAGACCTAATTATACATCGTCGTCACACCGTTTCAACTATAATTTATTATTATTTATTAATATTAAAATTTTGAAATAAATTATTTTTGTTTTGTTGTTTTATCCGCAGAATAAATTGTCAAAGGATTTGATGAGACATTCAAACCAAATTGGTGGCAAACGAATATCATCTACCAGATTTACATACGTTCTTTTAAAGATAGTAATGGAGATGGAATTGGAGATTTCAATGGTGCGTATGATAATATATTATTTTATACTTCATTAATGATTATATACATAACCCATATATTTTCAAATACTTATAAAATAAATAATAAATGAAGAAAAATATTATTTTTATCAATTTTCTTACTAATACATTATTTTTTCATGAGTTAAGATGTGCTCAAATTTTATTTTACATTTTATCTAAACAAATAACACATAAAATATTAGCAAAAAAGAAAAATGTACGTGTTGCAAATACCTAACTCATTTTATTTTTAAATAATTAATATTTGTATATTTATAGGTGTAATAATATTTTCTATATTCAGATTTGTATATTCTACCAAATATATTATTAAAATGTTATTTTATCGGTTTCCTATCAATAATTACATATTGAAAATTGTTTATTTTTAGAAACTGAAAATTATTTAATTTATTATATTATTTTAAAAGGAATTATACAAAGGGCATATTAAAGATCCTTTGTGACTTTCCTATAGTCTAGTTTTTAACATAAAATATTGTATTATAAAGAAAACGATTTTCAAGTATAATATATTATTTAGAACTAATTGTCATTTAAACAGTCTTTTTTTTTTAATTAAATTTGTTTAAAAACAATTTCATAAAAAATAAAATTTCTCTTTTTTATAGAGATTATAATACTATAGAGTTATTAGATAATAGGTACTTACTACCTAATTATTTAATTCTATTATTGAATTAATTAAAAATAAAGTTTTAATAAATAATACAGTCTAATCATTTTTAACAAAATAATAAGAATCTCAGAAAATTATTCAAAAATATACATTAATGTTTAAATCATTAATTTTGATTTGAAAAAAAAAATGTATTAAAAATATTAAAATTAATTAATTTCGAAAAGTTTCATTTTAGTTGAATAACTTTGTCAAATACTTTGATAATATCATAATTATTATTAATTAACGTACAAAATAGTAAATAGTATTTGTTTAAATACATTTTATGATAAGAAAAAAATACAGAATATATTTTCATTTTAAACTTGCATGGTAATTAATATATTTTTTAAAGGGTATCTTGGAAAAAATAGATTATTTTAAAACCATAAATGTTAGAGCCGTTAAGTTATTTCCTGTATTTCAATCTCCGCAGGATGATTTTAGGTATGATGTATCAAACTTTGAGATGGTTGATGAATTATTCGGTACTATGCAAGATTTTGACCGGTTAAGAGATGCATTCCAAAAACGTAGTATGTATGATTGGTACCTATTTTATTTATAGTTGATTTTCGTCCAAGATCTAATAGTATTGAAATTATTGATTTAAAGATATAAAATTAATATTGGACTTTGTGCCGAACCACACGAGTGACAAGCATCCTTGGTTCATAAAATCTGTACAGCGAAAAGAACCTTACACAAATGACTACGTGTGGGAAGACCTAATTATCGATGAAGATGGTAACAGAAAACCTCCAAATAACTGGGTAACTAATGAAAATCTGTGTAATAAATATGTATTGCAAGTATCGGAACGGGTCATATCTTGGAATTAAATGTGTTCGAAGGTTACGTTTTTGAATGGGAAGTGTTAAAAAAGTTATTCGTTTGAATATTAAAGTAAAAAAAAAAAAAATATATTTGTTCGGATAGATATAATATGTTCGAAAAGTCGTATATACAAAAATAATTTAGTTTAATTAAAAATAGCTATCTAATATTTTAAAAATAAAATTATTAAAAAAAAAAAAATTGTCAACGGTCCTCACGGTGCGACGATATTTGCCTATATCACCTTTATTAAATGTCGAAAGATTAGCCGAAGTTCAATTACCCTTCTTCGCCTGGTAAGGGTCAACGGCCACGACGGTACGATATTCAGCTATATCGGAGTCACCAGATTAGACTTTAAACAATTATCCGTGCTGGTACACCAATAATATTTTTATTTTTTTTTAATTAATCTAATATATTTTTTTTTTTTTTTTTTTTTTTATTTATATTATAATAAGACATTCCTAGCCTATAAGGCTATCTACATCTATGGATAAATAACATAATTTTTTTTTTTTTTTTTTGACTAATTTAAACATGATATAAGTATTTACAATTACAATTAAGAGCGATAATTACAGTAGTGACTAGTTATTTAATAGCATTATCGAATAAGATCGTGCGGGCGACCGCGTTTTAGTCGTCTTTGAGGTGGTGGTCGTATGTGTAAGTTGAAGTGTATTGAGCCAGTTGATTTTTGGAGTGAACTGTGGAAATTTTCTGCTAGAGCTTTTATATGATCTTGAATTTTTATGATTCGGAGGTCTTTATGTAGATTTTCGTTGCGTATGAACCATGGTGCGTTTGTTATTATTCTTAATACTTTGTTTTGGAAAATTTGTATTTTTCTTAAGTGTGTCACTGAGCAGTTTCCCCAGATAGGACAAGCATAGGTAATTAGTGAGCGTAATAATTGCTTGTAAATTAATATTGAGCATTTTTTTTGTATGACTGATTTTTTGTTTAGGATAGGAAATAGCATTGAGAGGCGCTGGTATGCTTGTTGTAATTTAGAAGCTATGTGAGGCCCCCAGGTTAACCTCTTGTCCAACGTGACACCAAGGTACTTGACAGAAGATTGCCAAGGTATGGAATCGTTGCCAAATCTTAGAGGTGGTGGAGTGGAATAGCGACGTAAGCTAAAAATGACTGCTGAGCTTTTTGAAGCGTTTATGTGTATTTTCCAGTTATTGCACCATGATGCTAATAGATTTAGGTGATCTTGTAAGTTGTTTGTTATCGCTTCGACGTTGCGGGATTCACTGTATCTAATATATAAAAAACACAATTTTTGGGGGATATTCTAGCCGACATCAAGGTAGTGTCTCCTGGATAACATAAATAGGCTAGTCCCAACTCACGTGCTCTTATGATACAACTTATGATATTTAATGTATTATTTCATTCATACAAGTTTTCAAATTTATATCTATTCGAACAAATAACTTTTCTAACACTTGTTATTTGAACACATGTACCCTACCCATCCAGTATAAATGGTATTACTATTAACAGTATTAACAGAATAATTGGTATTTTCTAAAATCGTTAATTGTACTGTGAACATTTAATAATAATTGTCTTTTTGTAACTATTGCAGTTAGGCGTTTTCAATATCGGGTCTGCATGGGAGTGGAACAAAGTACGTCAACAATACTATTACCACGCATTCCAAGTAAAACAACCAGATTTGAATTATAGATGTTCGATGGTCGTCGAAGAAATCAAGGTGTTTATTCTCGATTTTGTTAATATTATATGATATTGTAGGTACACATAATAGTATTAATTATATGAAGTAAATATGATTAAATTAATGCTAATTGTAGGCGTCGTTGCATAAAGTATATTAATTATGATTAGAAACAATATGACGTAAACACGTTTTCAGAAAATCATAATATTTTGGCTGGGACGTGGTATTGATGGATTCAGATTCGATGCAGTCAATCATCTATACGAAAGGGAAGATTTAGCTAATGAATCAAAATCTTATGAATTCGGTGTGCTAGACACTGATTACTTATCGCTGGTGCACAACCACACTCGAGATCAACCAGAAACTTTTTAAATGGTACGCATTTAGAGAGAACTGTTAGACGAATATTCATCATACGGAAAAAAACCAATTATGAAAATTATTATTGAACTCTCCGTATTTTGTTGAGATTCATAAACATTTTAAATAATAACTCCATTTTTACAAAATATCTATCAAATTTTGTTATATAATAATACTATACTTACATTCAACTATCATAACATTGACATTAACATTACTACAGATTCTTTATGGTGGAAGCTTACTCATCATTGGACAAAACTATGCTGTATTACGGTAACAAAACATCTCCCGGAGATCATTTTCCGTTCAATTTTTTATTTATGAATTCGTTCGACCAGCAATCCGGTGCATACAAAATCAATGATATAATTAAATCTTGGATGCTGAACATGCCTGAAAACATGTGGGCTAACTGGGTGGTCAGTGTGTGATACTACATAGGCTGTCACCTATTGACGTGACATTATACACAGAATGATTCTTTTAACATAAAATAGCCATTTTATCCGTAAAATTCATATTCCTAGGAAAATATTGGTACTATCTATACTCAAGTTTAGTAACACTTCTTAGTTATTAGTGATTAAGTAGTTACTATGTACTAGTTCAATAATTTATGTCAATATATCTTTAGAAAAATAATATGTTTTAAATTATGAAATCATATGAAATTAGAATAAATGTAAGTCATTATTAAATATATGTATAAATAATAGTAGAAATAGAATAGCGAAAATTTCGATTTTTCTACTTGGTATAGAATAGACAATAGCTTAAAATGAAAATAGGTACCATAATATATTTATATATTAATATATATAATATATTTAACGAGTAGACAACACTCTTTCATGATAAAATAATTATCCTTAATATAACATAATGTTGTGGCATACGTAAAATATGTAATATAAAAAATATGTAGATAAATAGAAAAAACTGAGTTTAATTAATTTGGTAGTTTAGATCGGCAATCACGACTGTTCACGAGTAGCGTCTAGGACGAATCCGTTGTTGGTGGATGGCCTCCACATGATGCAAACTCTGCTGCCAGGAACTGCGATCACGTACTACGGCGATAAGCTGGGAGTACAAGACACGTATGTTCGATGGAACCAGACTGTAGACCCATCTGGACGTAACGTCGGAATGTTGCGATACACGACATTCAGTCGGGATCCCGCTAGAAGCCCGTTTCCCTGGGATGACTCTGAAAGCGCCGGTGTGTATATGCCGTTTTCACCCATGTGCTAATTAAATTCGTCACGACGTTCAATAATAATAATAATGGAATGTTTCCATTACAGGTTTCACCAACGGAACGCAAACGTGGTTACCCATCAATCCGGAATATTGGCGCGAAAACTTGGTTCAACTGTTCAAGTTTAAGAGTCATCTTAGGACGTACAGACAGTTGTCAAACTTAAGGCAGATACCAACAATCCTTAAAGGAGACTTGCACACATACGCTTTTTTTCAATGGGTTTTCGGTTTTTCAAGGTAAGTTAGATATTAATCAGATTGAAATACTTACTTATAATTCAATTAAAATCAGAGATATAAAGAAACAACGATCATTTGATAAGCATCTATTAATATTTAAACTTAATTTTTTTTTTTTTTAAGTAAATGAGATTTTTTTTAATATTATAATCTAAAATTATCAATAAACGTAAATTAATAATCACTAGAGCAAAGACTTTCATGCATTAAAAAATCATCAAAATATGAATTTAAAAATATGCACTTATGCATCAAAAAATTTAAAATATGCAGTTTAATATATCCTCAAAAAAATTAATACATTAAAATTTATAGCTCTAAATATTATATTTTTTCTTTAAATATTTAATTTTAATAATTTTATATTATCTCTCTATAAGTTTTAACTGAATTTTATATCACTTTATTATAATCTAATCTACAGATTCGCAACTATGATAAAATTAGTCTCTTTCGTCTTTATAAGAATATAAAAATAGTTAAATATAATAATTTATGTCCTTAATCATGAAAAATATTCACTAAAAAACATGATTTTCTTAACCTTTAAAAAATATGCACCACAAATTAAAAATATACTCTTATAATCAAAAAATATGTCCTTTAAACCAAAAAATGTCAAAATATGCAATAAAATGCACTAAAAACTTTGATATTTTGGTCACAAACGTTGTGAAATGTATGTACTTACTCTACATACGTAAAAGTAAACACGAAAAAATACGCAAATGCATAAAAGTCCTTGCTCTAATTTCATCAATTACTGTTGTCAAACAAAAACCAAATTTTAAAATTTTATTATTGTAGAGTAATATAATAAAATCTATTATTTATTTCCCTATACTACAACATTATATTGGCCATATTATTTAAAATATTATCACAAAACTTTGAGTTAAATTCACAGTATATATAATATGTATACACCTTTATTATATTAAATTAGTAAAACTAATTATTGATAATATTTGTTATCATATAAATTACAAAACATTGTTTATGTTTCTATCAATGTTATTCTTAATGTATTTAGATTGTCGAGGTTTTGTGTATTTTTAGTTTACATATTATAGTTACTAATTTTATAGTAATATGTTGTATAATAACGCATTATATATTCAAGTTATGAGTGTCACGAGTTACGTTATACATAATATAATATTAAGTTGGTTTGAGTATATAGAAGATAATCTATTACCTACAAATATCAATTTTCAACACAAAAAATAAATTTTATTTTAAAACAAACCATCAAGTCATACATTTTTAAATTAAAATTTCTGAAGAAAAAAAACTTATTTTGATTTAAGAACAGTTGATGAATTAATTTTTTTTTTATAACATTCATCAATAAACAATGATATATTTACATAATTTATAGTATAAAATTTAAATTTTAGTTTTTTTTTTTATATCTTAGGAGTTTTTATGATCATCCAACTTTCTTCGTCGTCATTAATTTTGGCAGTAAACTGGAAAAAGTTAATATAAAAGCAGCTAGAGATACATTACCAGAAGTATTGAAAGTCAAAGTTTCCAGTATAAATTCAGGTTATGTAACTGGGTAAGTTAAAAACGTACAAATATGATAACTTTCTGCAAACAAATAAAAAATCCAAATTTCGTATACCTACCTAAAGCTATTGTAATTTTTATTTTGTTTTTAGAAACATGGCAAGATCAGATACCATAATAATGAGACCGAAAGCAGCTCTTGTCTTCTCAACATCAAAACCTAATGAAGATATCTTTTTTTTTCCAAAAACAATTAAAATTACTTATTAAACTATTGATGTAGGTGTATAGGCTTAAGTAAAAATAAAATAAAATTGGTTTTAAAGCGTATTGCATAGTTTTTATTTTTTTTTTCGTATTAACTATTATGGCTGAATAAAAATTAAAAAGTGTTTAAGATTTTCACTAACACTTAATATTAAGCTTATTTCAGTAAACAATGCCTTATGATAAAATTATGAATAATATATAAATAAGTTATTTAATGTGATGTAATATAAATAACAAATAACAATTTATAAAAATAAATTAAAGCATTTAAATATTTGTTTTAGATATGTTTGTGTAATATAATCTATCAACAATAATGATTTTCCTTTGAAAAAATGTGTGCATATACTTGTGTTTCCGATGCTAGATATATTTGTAATATGTTCAAATTCTGAAACAATTATTGTAAAAAAATTGGTTGCTCATAACTTTATATATCTTTAACTGTTATTATTTGTGTTTATATTTTAAGTCCAAATAATAATATGATAATATTTAGTGATCATTAACAAAGAGCTTTTTTCTCAGTACTGTATCAAGATTAGTTTTATGTGGTACATAATTATGTTTTGGATTCTAATTTCTATTGGCAACAGTATTATGACACACATTTTTTTTTTATTTTGTATAAAATGAAAATGCACATATTCTGGTGTTTTGCTACACTATTTGTACGTTTAACTATAATATTTAATATTGCACAATATCAAAATGACAAAATCTAATATTTTATATTAGAATATTATAGGTTAGGTTAGGTTGTTATTTTTATTTGTTCTTTAATAATTAACGATGGTGGTATCCTCTTTCTCCGAAGTAGTTCCTGCGGAAAATACCTAGGAGAGAAGTTGAATGTTGCCGGTGAAAAAAGAAAGGTTGGTTAGGTTAGATCTGAAATCATTTTGAATTTTGTAAATTTTTTTTTTTTCAGAATATTACCTTGAACACTTTTCAATCAAATTTTTGATAGATGATAGTTATACGAATATACCGATAACCATGGTCATTATTATAAAATGTTAGTTTAAATTATTATTGTTAGGTATACTACGAATTGAAGGTATCTAAAAGAACACCTATTTGATTTCACCAATATAGATTTTGATAGTACAACCTAATAACTCTATGTTTATAATGGTATAAAAAAATAATAGTTATAGTACTAATTTACAAAATGTTAGGAACCGATCATTAAAATATTGAAATAGAAATATAATAATCAGTTTAATATTAATTGAAATAACAATTTATAATTTTTGTTTATGATGTTATTTTCCCTAAATTTGACTAACTGCCAACTTTTCGGTCTCAAAGTCACACCAGCTTAACTTGAGGTATTGAAAATTAATACTTCAAATTGACGGAATCGATTGGTTGAGTAATTAGTTTCTGAAGTGTTGATCTATGTTGCGGAGTTGATATACCTTGTCACCAAATAATAAATTTTTGACGGAACTGATAAAAATCATATAATTCTCCACTGAATTTTCATCACTAGCAACAGTTTTACGATAATATTATCATTATTAAATATTATTGTCTGTCTGTACCCAGTCGCTCTTAAAACGATAACTTGCTGCTCAACTAGACATCGTCAGTTTCAAATTTTTTTAAGCAATTTTAAGAATTTTACGACTTTTGGTTTATTCAGATGTAAGGCTTTGTATTTTATAGTTATGTTTGGTACACTATTTGATACCAGCGTTAAATAATTCTGCAATAAAACAAAATATATAAAAATTCATAAAAAACAACCACATTAATACGTACATTATTTCATGTTTTATTCATTATTTCAAAAACCCTAATTATTAATTATTATGCAAATTAATATTATAATACAGTTAAAAATCACTCGTTATACAGAATGAGGCAATGAAATAGCCGATTTCAAAAATAGTTTTTCTCCATAATTGTTTAAGATAATAATTAATAATGCTCACTAAATATTATTAACTTCAAAATTTACCTTTGATAAGTATGCAGTACTAAACAGTGTGTTTTTGCTATAAAATATAACTTTATGACTATTATATTACTTATTAATATATAGTTATCAGCGTTTATTAATTTGTCTTAATTTAAACTTTAAATGAAATAATCTACTACTAGGAAGATAAATAATATGAAGGTTATATTGAGGAAATATCTTTTTATAAATAAATAGCATGTTATTTATTTCATTTTATTATAAAAATAGTAATTAATTTCCATTCTTTTTTTGTTATGTACCTATTTTATAATTTTAAATTAAACATTATAGTAGCTCACCTTATATGACTTATTATAGGTATATTACAATACGATAAAGGTATATACATTGTTATTCATAAGTTAATGCATATTATGTAAACTGATAATTTTAATATGTTCATTCACAGCTAAACAATCTTATATAAACTTATATATTTCTATACTGCTACTCCAGTTCGAGTTTAACACAAACATGTCATTATAGATACATATGTATTTCTTAACTGAAAAAAAAACATGATAACAATAATTTTTAGTTACATACAAATAGTAATACAATTGAAGTTAATAGCATACATGTAATGTGTATTTTAAAGTTAATCAGTTTAACAACTTTGAGTTATTGAGAACATATATTTTTATTTTGTATGTAAACTGATTTAATTTTTAAAAGGTATCTCATCTAGCTACTAGCTTTATTAATTTCATTAAAAAAAAAATGTTTGATGAAAACAAAATTTTACTATAGGTTGTCAAGTACATTGCGTATCATACGCCTAACAAATAATAACGAATAAATAACACAAATTATCTATACTCTGCAAATAATAATAAATGCTATAATATTGAGAATAAAAGAATTGCTTAAAATCTATTTAAACTGTTCGTTTCAGAAAGTTCTAAATGTTTGTTTTAATACTAATAAGTACGTTCTTGCAATTCAAGTTAATATTATATTACATAAGAAAAAAATGTATTAAAAAATTTAATATTATCATTAGTTTTATTATATACAATATTATTCTTAAAGAAACAAAATTTTTATAAGAAACTCGTGTACAGTATTTAGTGAAAAATTAAAATTTTAATATTGGTTTATTATTTGATTAAATATTATACGTGATAAAATTTTACTATATTATTCTCTTATCTAAATTTATTTTTTAATAACAAATTTGGAATTATATAATACACTCAATTTTATAACATTTTAAACAGAATTTGACTTCAATAATGATTAAAAAAAATAAATAATAATGGCATCGTTGTACATTATACAATTATTGCAGTAGTTATGTTTTTATTATTATTATTTTTTTTTATCGGACACGTTTGCGTCATTGAACATTTTAAATATGTATAATATTATTCGTAAAGCATTTAATATTTACTTTTAATGACAAGATAGTTGATAAGGATGTTGTAATATATAAATTAAGTAGTACCGAATGTCGTTACACTCAAAACTTAAAACTATAAAAAGTGTTTATTACACAACACAATAAACATAGTAAAAAAAATGTAATAAATATTAATTGTAATTCGTTTAGTGTTTAGTATGATCAAATAAGTTATCAATCAATATCACGTTTATTAATGATCTACTTACTTGAAACATAATATTTTGACATTTTTTTTTTCGACACAAGTTTTAAAACTAATTAATTAAAAAAAAAATAAATACAAATAATTTAGTTACAGTCATACTGATCATTGACTTTGACTTTGACATCTTTTCGCATCTTATTACTTCCTTCATTTTAACGGCAGTCAGTTGTTTATTTTAATTTTGAATAAAAAAAATTTAAAAAAAATAATTTAGTTCATTCTCATAAATAAATTTAAACAAAGCTTTTTAAATATTTAATTTAGATATTTCATGGCATTTTAAAAATGTTAATCAGTAATCACTCATAAAGCATTAATTAATCAACCAATTATTACCAAATAGTATTAAGTTTATAAATAAAACCAAATTAAAAAGTCTTAATATTTCCTATATAGCTTGAAATTTAATTTTAATCTCTTGTATTCCATAAGTTTCATCATTTATAAAATATAATTTTCCATAGTTATTTTTTTTTTTTTTAAAAGAAATTATTATTTACGTACCTAGAATTTTTTCTCAACATAAAAATGTATTTTTAGTTTTCTTTTTTTTATAGATGTTTATTAATTATTTTTATTTTTGTAAGTATAAATTTTAATTTTTCTCTGATAATATTAGTTGTTTATAAAACTGATAACTAAAGTGATGAGTATAAAATTGAAATATAGCTGCGATTGAGCAATGCGCTTATTAAGGGGTTTTAACTAGGTAATTTTAAAAGTAGTTAATTACTAAAATAAATTTAAGCTCGTTTACAAAATAGTCTTAAATTTTTCTTATATCAGTGCAATCATTGGGTATTAACAAATACTAAATTATTTATAATATGCTATTTTGATCAATTGAAAGTTATGTTTATTAATTAATAATAGTTTTAATATCAATTTTTTATTATAAATAAAGATTAACTACAATTAAAATTAACAACTGTAGACAACTACAACTAAATTTATTTTTTCGATTAGGAACCACATTTCAATATGTTTATAGTACCTATACATATGTTATCAACCAAGATACTTGATTATTAATTACTGAAAATCTATATTATATATGAGGTTTTTTTATGTATAGCTTATCAATATTAATATAAAATATTATATAAATATATTATTTTTTGTTTATAACCTAATGCAAACAATTCAAAAGAAATATAAAAAATAACATAATTAAAATCAATATAAAAAACCGTATCACTCGATGTTATATTCAAGATAATATTATTATTATCACGCTAAGTGTTGTCATATTCAACAACTGCCATGTACAAAAGCTAGTGCTTTAATATTTATTAAGTATAACAATAAACTGAATAATAAAGTGAACATTACGTCTTTCCTGTTCATCAGTTTAAGAAAATTAAATCATTATTTCGTTTACTTTTTTAATACCTCGTTTAACGGATTGAACTGCGTAATGCCAGAAATTCTTGAGTGCACTGATTATGTTAAATTAAAGATAGGAAACTCAGCCACTTACTAAATGACGTGCAGATAAATTCATACAAATGTAGTATCTTATCGAAATGCATAAATAGTCCATAACTAATGATAAGTTCGACATTACGAGAATTGTATACTCTGTAATACGACCCGCTCAGCCAACATGTTTAAAGTAACCACGGTGTGTATGTGGCTATTTGCCTTTAACAATCTTGTGTCTTCCGAGTATATTTATGAAGGTTTGAGCAACTCGTACGAATTGGACTGGTGGCAAAAAGAAATTATTTATCAAATTTACGTGAGATCATTCAGAGACAGCAATGGCGATGGAATTGGAGACCTGAACGGTGAGTAAAAATACATTTGAACAATTTTATTATTTTTTGTACACCTTCTCATGTTAATTTTTAATATTAGTCATGTATTAAGAATATATTATTGGCTATATTATAGTAGTACCAAACTATCATATTGATTTAATTTATGTACAAAAAAATTAATTTGATAATTGTATTCATCAATAATATAATATTAAAAGTATACCTTTTAATTATTTATTTTTTAAGTGTGTTAAAATAAATAAATAATAAAGGTTGTGAAAAATGTAATTTAATTAATGATATTCTAAGAATTATTTTCATATTCATTATAATATGAAACAATATGTTTTTTTTTTTTTTTTTATTGTTACAACATTAACTAAAAGATTAAAAACAATATTATTAAATGTATATGTGATATTTATATATATATATATAGAGAGAGAAAGAGAGAGAATGTACGAGTATGTATTAAGTGCATTTTTTGTCTACATTCTTAAATCTAAGAAACTAAAACTTTTAAAATATATTTATATTATAATCTACCTAAATCTTAAATTGAATAAAAAAAATAATTCATTTAGGTAAGTAATGTGTGATTACGTGAAACAATAATTAGTATTTAAATATTTTTTATGTACCTACTCAAATACAAATTTCAAATAATTTTGAAAAATACTTTCTCAAAGTATGTATATTTGAAATAGAATATTAGTTTTAGATGACTTTTTATATTATTATACTAGTTAATTTAAATACGTATAATAAAAAAAAAATGAGTGATGGATATACGCATCTTAGTCAAAAATATAATTCATACAAAAAATAAAAATATTACTAATTTGAGTATATCTATAAATCCATTTTTAAATATTTATATCTGTACTAAAATATTTTTATTTACTGAATATTCAAATACTTATAAAAATAAGTATATTTATTTGAACTTTTAAGGTTACTGTTTGCACATATCAGGTATTATACTATTATATCATGAAAATCAATTATAATATATTTTTAAAATTTTTTATGAATACGATATCACAGTTTGATTGACTGGAAAAATAAAACAACATTATAAACAAAAAATAGTTCAACAGAGTCATAGTAGGGTAAGAAATCATTTTTACAAAATTTTCTCTTCCATGGAATGAGTCTATTAATAGGAATTCTAAAAGGTTGTAGAAATGGAATCGTTCCAGAGAATGCATTGAAATTTAAACGTAATTCATTTTTATGATTAATTTTTTTTTTTTATATATACATAATAGTTACTTAATAATTTACTAATTTATCAATAATTAACTAAATACAGATTTTTATCTCGTATGTCGTTTTAATGTAAGAGCTTATAAAGTTAAATTATTCATTTACATGAAACATCTTCAACTCTTGTTTTCACGGTGTAATTTATTTATTTTTTATCATTTAAGGTTTAATTATTTAAAGTTAACTATAACTTATTTTGTTTTTAACAATTTTAACTTAAAAGTTAATTATAATAATAGGATTTAATTACTATGAATTTTTCAATATACACAATAATTTTTAGTCTCCAGTAAATTCAATCAAGTTACGGTCCCGAAAAATACCCAATCCTAGATTATGATTAAGTACCATAGAGAATACAATAAAATAGCGTGAGGTCGAAGAGGGTTGTGCCTTAAAATCTTAAGTTAAAAATTTGTATACAACTTTCTATAAGCTCGATTAAATAAAATATTATATACATCTAAAACTTTATAGGTACTAAAAGTTAAGTAAATTAATAATAACTATTATTTTCTTCAAAACGATTACATTTATTTTAACAACACAGGTGATACTGCTTTAACGATATCAAATTGTACAAATATGCCTTAGGTTTTTTAAATTTGTAAATTTGTAATATTTTTTAAATACATTTTTATAATTTAGAAACATGAAAGAACTATTAACTTGTTAACAAAACATATATGAATAATTACTTTAAAATATTGTGATTATGGGAATTATTAAAAAATTATTGTTAATTAACATATTTGACGTTCATATTATAATTAATTAATACCATTATATTTTGTATTTTGTAGGTATAACAGAAAAAGTCTCATACTTCAAAAGTATAGATGTTGGTGCCGTTTGGTTATCGCCGATATTCCTTTCACCGCAAAATGATTTTGGTTATGATATTTCTGACTACAAAGAGATCGATCCTATTTACGGTACAATGGAAGACTTTGAACGAATGAGAGATGAGTTTCATAAACATGGTACTTTTGCAATTTATCATTATAAATATTTTTTTTTCTCAAAAATAATTAAGTAAATTTTAATACTTTCACACAGGCATAAAAGTCTTATTGGACTTTGTACCGAATCACACAAGTGACGAACATGAATGGTTCCAAAAATCAATTAAAAAAATAGAGCCCTTTACTGATTATTACGTATGGAAAGATCCAATCATTGATATACATGGCAATAAAACGCCTCCAAGTAATTGGGTTAGTAATAAAAACATTACATTTATTTTTAATTTATAGACTACGCAGGTTTTATTAGTTTATTATAATTATAAATTAACATAATTCCTTCCAGATATTGTTTTTTTTAATTTCAATACGGTGTTTTAATGGTCAAAATATTATCATATTTCCGTTAAAGTCTTAGTTTTAAGGCTTAAGCTTTTTCAACGCATTATAAATGGCTTTATTAACATCCAAAAATCACCAACTTTAAAAAAAAATAAAAATATTTTGTCTTAGGTTCAAAAAAAAAAAAAAAAATAGACACAAAAGACAAATAAGATAAAATATTTTGGGATTTCACAAAATTAGTGTCATTACGAATGTCATTTGTTAGTCAAGGTTAGGTTAGGTTAACACACATCAATTTGATTATTTTTCCTATCATAAATTTGTGGATAATATTTTCATAACCAACAATTTATCTTTAACTCTAAATTACTTCTAAGTAATAATCAATAAAATTATTATCTATTTGCGATTTTAAGATAGATGTCTTACCTTTTAAAATATTTGACCACTCAAAAGTTAAAAATTAACACAAACAATTATAATTAAAAGATTAATTTATTAATTCAAAAGTCGTCACTGTCATTTTTAATATTTTTACTGATTCTAAAATAAAATATGTATTAAATACCAATGTTGTTTATAAAATCGTTATTTTGAACAATACGCTTAACTTAAAACGCACATTGTTATGTCTAATTTAATATCTAGTTTATATTTATGTAACTGAATTACTAATAACGTTATAGGTTTTTTTTGTTTTCATGTGTTTTATCTTGGCCAAAAATCAGAGTTGGTTAATTCAAACCTTAAATATTTTATTAGTTTATTATGTTCATACAACTTTCTAAAAAAAAAAAAAAATGTAATTACAATTTTAATTTGTTTTGATTACAAGCTAACACATAAATTATGTTAAATTTAAACTGATCAACCCTTCTCAATATAAGTCTTAGTATCTAAGAGTAATTTTTAATATAATATATTATTTATTATATTGTGATATGCTCATATATTTGAAAGTAACCAAATATCTATACTTACCTAGATAGCAACAAATCAATATTAAACCTAAAAATCATCATATTTAATTTTTCAAGTTAAAAATACAAGCCGTAAAAATCAAGTAAAATATATTGAATATGTCGTAAACTCTTACAAATGAAAGTAAATTTTATTATTTTAATTTTAACTTGATTTAGCACTTGAGTGAAAAAAAAAATGATTTTTTACGTATAATATTTATAATAGCCTAAACTATAAAGTATATTTATGATGTGCAAAGTTATTTAAAACTAAGTCATTTCATAGTGTTAATGTTAAATATAAAAAACATCTTGATACATAATATTCAATATTAAGTTAGTATTTTAACATCTGGTCAAACGATGCCAATTATGACAAAACTTAATATATGCAAGTATTATTATAGTAAACTAACTATTAAGTATTAACCATAATGAAAGTATATTGTCATTATGGAGTTCAATTATAACTTAAAATTAATTTTATTACTGAAGTGTATGCTAAAAACAATATATTAAACATTATTTAAATTTTAAACACATTTTTATTATTTACAATATTTTTTTATGCTTGGCTTATATAAAAATATTATTTTCATATTATTATAAATATTAAATAATTAAAATGTATAAACGAAGTAATAGCAGACACAGGAATGTTTACATATACTTTGGTTTTAGATAGTAGTAGTAGTACTGAAGTAAACTCCTAAGAGTTTACAATCGTTCAGCCATACGCCACAATCAGCTTATAAATCTAAAAAAATATATAACAAACGATTTTTTTTTTTTAAAGATATAAAACTATTAGATACACTATTAAGTACTTATAGCAATATTTCAATTGTAAATAACTTGATTATTTTCTTAGTCAATAGTTATTATTTTCTATAGTTGTAATTTTTTTTTAATTGTAAGTATTAAATAGATATGAAAAATATACGTCAAAAGAAAATAATAATAATACAGTTTAAAAAAAAAAAAAAAAATAATAATAATAATAAAAATAAACCATTGACTATTTATTTTAATACTTATGTTTAAACAAAATTATAATATACGAGATTTTGTTAATTTCCAGTTGGGTGTGTTCAATAGTGGATCTGCGTGGGAATGGAATGATGAACGTCAACAATATTATTTACATCAGTTTCAAGTGAAACAACCAGATTTGAACTACAGGAATCCGTCGGTTAGAGAAGAAATTAAGGTGTTCTACTCATGATGATTAAATACAATTAATTGGTTGTTGATTGATATTTTTAACAAATAATTAATTTTTTTAAGAACACACTATTATATTGGTTGGGACGTGGAGTTGACGGATTTAGATTCGATGCTGTTAACTATCTATTTGAAAGAGAAGATCTACTTGATGAACCAAAGTCCAACAAAGTTGGCTATTTGGACACCGATTACGATTCCTTAATACATACAAGCACACTTGATCAACCGGAAACTTATACCATTGTAAGCTCATGGAGACAGATGCTGGACAGCTACAGGACCAGTGAAAAGAAAACTAAGTAATTAAAATATCAAAATATAAATATTTATATTAAAGTGTATAGTATTGATAATATTATTAATTGATAATAATGGTGAATGTTTGAATTCGTTAAAAATACTATAAAAATACGGATATTTATTGGTGTATGTTGACGTGTACGATAAGTATAATGAGGAATTTTGATATAGCTATTATGATTTTGTGACCTAGTTAATTATATTAAATACAATAAATCACATTTTCACCAATTTTGAGAATATTTTTAGATTATTACAACATAAATTTACAAATTATCATTATTTATTACTCGTATAATATCTATAGTCATTACCTCGTTGGGATGTGAAATTCAAAATAAATAAGTTATAAGTCCCTATAGTTGATATTTTTTTTTAATTATGAAAATAAAATTATAAACTAACAGCATAACTAAAATAACTAAAATTATTGGAAGAAAAATAATTATTTTTCATTTATGTGTCCGATTTTATTAAAATTATTGTGACAATAACTCAAAGTTGATGATTATAACATTTCGACTTAGCATTACGCCTAGTCAACTTTATTCTAAATTTCTAAACATATGTTGGCGTTCAAATTACACACACTTATAAAAAGAAAAAAAACATCATTGTAAAATCAATACATTTGTCGTTTTATTTTGAATCTAAAACACATCAATAATATTATAAAATAAAACTACTTTTATTTACGTATTTACATGTTACACTATTAAATTTTATTGTATTTCAATGATAAAGCACGAATTATTTATTAAATTTTGGTATTAAAATTGTATTATTCATACTTATTTATTTTAAATTTTATATTATACTTAAACTAATACCTTGAATATATACCGTTTTTCGATGCGATGTTTTATAGATTTATGATGGTGGAATGTTACTCACCTTTTAATAATACCATGCTGTACTACGGTAACCAGTCATCGCCTGGTGCTCATTTTCCATTCAACTTTTTATTCATTAATACGTTTGATCAACAATCGGATGCTGCTAAAGTTTATGATATAATCAAATCCTGGATGAAAGGTATGCCCAGTGGCATGTGGCCCAACTGGGTGGTAAGTAAAACAAATAGATATTCTATTTTTTACAGTAATCATCAGTAAAAAATTTAATAATTATGACCTTTAGTTAGGTAACCATGATAACTCGAGAGTGGCTACAAGAAGCAACCCAATGTTAGTCGATGGATTACATATGATGCAACATCTCTTGCCTGGCACCTCAGTAACTTATTACGGAGATGAACTCGGTCTAATAGACACAAATGTTCGTTGGGACCAAACTGTTGATCCAGCTGGGCTTAACGTTGGCCCTTATAGGTTCTTAAAATTCAGCAGGGATCCCGTAAGGACTCCATTTCCGTGGGATAGTTCGTTTAACGCAGGTGAATATAGTAAATAACGTGTATCTATAATACAGTACAGTTCAATAATAAAATATAATTTATTCTAAAATAGATAAACTCATTATGTTACTTTCGTTATTACATGCAGGTTTTTCTAATTCATCTAAATTGTGGCTTCCTCTAAACTCCGATTATTGGCAAAGAAATATAGCAGAAGAATCAAAATATAAAAGTAACCTAAGGTCATACAGGCAATTGGCTCGGTTAAGGAGGAGTCTAACATTTGTCAAAGGCGATTTGCATTTATACACTTTATCCAAATGGGTATTTGGATTTTCACGGTAGGTTTTTTAATAAATGTTGTATAATTATATCATTCAAGTATGAAATATTTTGCTTTTGTCATTTAAAAAAAATACTACCTACATATATAATATAGTAATATCAATAGAAGATATTTAAAAACATGATTATGTGAATTCATTTCAACTTTAATTTAGTATTAAAATAATTTTTTTTAGTAACTTACTATTTATTTATAATTTATACTTTAATTTTTACTTTTATTGGAATACAAAAATACTGTCTGTAAAACACATTGTACTAATATCAAAAAATTGTTTAGCATTAATTTTTTTTGCATTTTTATTGATTAATTAAACATTTATATTTAATTTAGATAAACTAAGAGATAAAGCATAAATAATGATACAGTACAATATATTTATTCTTAATTTATAGAACTTTTAAAATTGCTTAAGTTGAAAAGATTATATGAAAGTAAATAATACTAATTTATTGATTAATTATAGGAGTTTTTATGATCATCCTACATACTTCATTTTAATCAACTTAGGGAGTGAAATAGAAACAGTTGATTTAACGAAAGCTAGAAATACTTTACCACAGATTTTAAAAATTAAGGTCTCTAGTATTAACTCTGGTTATGTAACCGGGTAAGTAACAAAATATTTTACATTTAAATATTTAAATTGATATAAAACAAGTATTTTAAACTATATACCATATAAACAGTGTTGAGAAGTATCTAGATAATTTAACTAGAAAAAATTACAGCATCTTTATTTTATCTAGACAAATCAGATACTAAGTATCTGATTGTCATCTAAGTTAAAATGTATTCCTATCTAGATAAATAAATAATTTCTAGTTTTAAATTGCAATGCTTAGACACGACGTTAATGAATGTTTTTACTTAATGTTTTTTTTCTTATTTGTTACATATAATTCTATTTTTATGCTAATGGTACTTTTAAGCAATTATTATTTATTAAATTAAGATAATAATTGTAGATACAGTGTTTGGAGTTCAGACTTCTTAAGAAAGATATTAATATAAGTTACCAATTAGTAATAATTTAAAAAAAAAAAAAAATAATAATAATAATAAGATTTACAGTATCTTTATGTTCAGTTCGAATTAAAGTAAAAAATTAGGTATACAGAAATAAATTATTGTTTAACAATTAAAATAAGGCATTGCATACGAAAATTATTTATTAAAAAGAACGGTCATAAAATAATTAAGAAATATATTTATTTTTTTTATGCATTTTAAATAAAAAATGAAAATATTATTTATTATGGTATCTAGATTAAAAATGTTTTATTTTTATCTTTAATTAGATGAAAGTAAAAATTATTTCGTGAATCTAAATCGAGATTATTGTTTACGAAATTATAAAATAGCTAGATATTATTTTTGTTATCTGGACTCAACACTGTGTATAAATATAATTTATTGAACAAAATTTGAATATTTTACTCTAATACGTTTAATGAGTTATTTATTTATAATTTTTGTATTGTTCTAGAAATTTAGTAAACACAAATTGTGTGTTTCTGCGTCCAAAAGCAGCTGTTGTACTCACAACCTCGAGAATAAATGAAGATTCATTATCTAATTTGTAGAATATTAAAAAATATAATTAACTAATGTAAATTATTAATTGAAGTATTAAATTATATTTAATTATTTTAATTAGTTCCCAATAAACTAAATCCATTTGAAAGTATCTAATGATGTATTGATATATACCTAATACCTATACATTAAACTATGTATCTAATAAATTATGACCAATATCATACCTACCTATATTATTATTAATGTGAGCTTATTAGCGATTGGTAAATCGATGAATTCTATTTGGGAAATAAGATATTATTAAAAACAATAAGATGATATTCCTAACTACAAGTGATAGAAATAAATTAATAATAATATTTTTTTGTTAAACCATTACTGATATTTAATATACAAAATTTAACTTAAAATAATGGTATTTGTTTTAACTATTAAATATGTATTGTATATATGTTATATTTTAGACTACCTAATTAAAACCGTGAAAGTCACTGTGATGTATAGTATAAAAGTTGCTTCTTATCATTAACTGATGTGTAAGTAATTGTTATGGATACCTATGTTGAATTTTAATTTAAAAATAAATCCATAAGGTGTAAGTATTAAATGTTTTAGAATTATAAATTTTCTAATCTTGAAATATTAAAAGATATGATTTTTGTATTTACATAGTATATGAGTGCGATATAAATGTGATAATAATACAATAAATTTCAATAAAAAAATTAATATTTTTATTTCAAGATGTATAGGGTTAAGGTACATATTAAGGTATGAATTAGATTTATTTTTAAAGTGTACGTGTTTATAGACTGTAATTTATTGTAAAAATATTGCTCAAATAAATTATTAGTTATTATTAATTATCTTACTTTAAATACTTTTTTTGTACGGATTTGAAATATTAAAATGAGAAATATTCAATTAAATAGTAATTATATTAATTTATATTTTTATTATTATAATTTATAACCATTATTGTATGAAATCCATAAATTTAATTACCTAAATTTACTATAAATTACCAATGATTTTAGAAATGTTGTTCATTAAACTTGATTAGCTTATAACTTTAGACACAAGTCTAATAAGTTAGCTATAATAACTTAATTTTTAAATAACAAGCTAAATGCAACAAATATTTACAAAAAAATAATATAAATATACAGTTTTAAGTATCAATCATAAACCAAAATAATTATGAAATTGTACATGAATAAAATAGTAGGTACCATATTTTTAAATTTCTATACATAACTTATTTTAGATGTTATTAATAATTGAATATAAAAAGGAAAAAATAATGTGTCAATGTCTCATCTTTGTAACTGCCAGTCGTTTTTTGTGCGTTTCTTTTCGCGACTTATTTTCTATTGTAAAGTTGTACAAGGTGGGCGTGACCAAAGTGGCAGTAGGCACTACCGCGACTGTGTGCACAACGAAAAAAAGAGGGTTGACGTTGTGGGGTCGACCCACCCTAAATACAATAATTATCGGTTTCCCTTGAGTGTGTATGTGACAGGAGAGATCGGCCGATGACGTGCACGTAGTTATCGTGGAAAAAACACACGCCTTATTCAACGTTTCTGAAACGTTACTACTTTTTGATAGTACCAAAAAAAAAGAACCTTGTGAAAAGATTATTACAAAAATGTATACATGTATGATTAATTTATATTCTTTTAGGGTTATATATATATATATATAGATATATATTATGAAACAGATCATATTGAGTATATTTTAATAATAAAGTAAAATTCACAAATTGAATTTCCCAAATAAAAAAGAAAATAGAATGTCAAATTACTGAGATTTTTAGACTAACGGGACTTGAGAAGTTTTCCTATAGTTGGTAAATGATAAGTTGATTGCATTAGTGTAACCACAATAAGTGAAAAATAATTGAATATTATTTAAAAATTAAACGCTTATACTTAAATATACGACAATTTAAATGAACAATTCAAAAAAAAACTTTATGCTGAAATCTATGTAATTTTTGAATGCGTAATTTTATCGATAATCGATTAAAGTTTGAAAAACAATGTTCGTATATTATTTACAATAGTAATCATAATTAAATTAAATTTGAAAACAATACATTTAAAAATCATTTAAAGTTTAAATTTTAAACATTACTTAGCAGAATTATTATTTTTAGATATTATTTGAGCACACTTATTACGTTAACAATGCAAATGCATTAGCGACTATGAATATCTCCACAATATGTTAAATGAAAGTTTAAATATTAATTTACTGATCAGAAAACACCAATAGGTATCAAAAATTAAATTATCACAAAATAATATTGAATGCGAACATTACTGACTTTCATAATAATTTTTGGGAAGTAATTAAGACCATGTATTAGTAGTATGCAGTATATGCTATGGTTACTCAACAAACTATGATGAATTTGTTACTTTTGTAACCGTAAATTTAATTCTCTAAATAGGTAATCAATAGATGATTATATATGTGGTAATAACTTTAATATTGCTGAAAATATATAGCCTTAAAGGTATATATTATATAGCTTATATTTATTACATAAATTCAGTATAAGAGGACTATACGGCTTACATAATTTTACCATTAACTGAATAATATTATTGTTTTGACGACATTATTAAATATTATTAAGGGATCCACTTGAAATGCTAGTGAAAATTTCCCTTAAGCATATTTAGCAAAACAGTAATCTTCCTATAGTCGAGTGCACCTTTGAAAATATATAGTGAATTAAAAATACCGCGTGTTTTAAATTAAATTATTCATAATATTATAATCGTTATAATTTTATAAAACTAAAAAAATGTATAGTTAAAAATACTATGATGAAATAACATTGGTTATAACGTAAAAAATGTAAGTATTACCATAGAAATCAGTGTTATAATACTTGTAATACATACTTTTAACAATACATTATTAAATATATTAATAAATATGGATTTGATAATTCAATTAAGTGTTATTTTAATATATACGAGGTACTCAAATGTTATTACTCACTATTTAAGGTGAAATGAATCACATAATTTTTCTAGATTTTTGCTTATATACAATAATGTGAATAATAAACAAATTATTTATAAATTATGATGTAAACTATAAAATGTAAGTGAAGACTCAATAAAAAAAATCAATTAGGTATTAAGTATTTTACCTTCCCTCTTTTAACAAATTACGTAACTGATTTAGAACCAAATAAATACAGATTGTCAATTTTAATCAACAACAGTCAGAAACATATTATTTGTACTTATCATGTGAAACTGAGTAAAAAATAAATATATATTATTATTCATATATTTATCTTTCTTAAATTATGAAGAAGGGGAAGAGGAATAAATTAAATTTTTAAAATTATTTTATGTGATAGTTTATGATACTTGTACGTTTTGACACGCGTTCTATAATGACTTTACAATATCACATCTACCATTGTTGAGGCTGGAAGAATCCATGTGGGTGTTAAACGCCAGTCCACCGTAACAAATACGCAAATCACATACACATTAACTTCGTTCAGCACCCTCAATGCATTTTATGATCTGCACAACATTCACCAACAGGGGGAGTGTATTGTGTTCAATCTGTTTTCTCTGTAGAAACTTATAGTATGATAAACAATTTTAGTTAATACGATAACAAATGCATTTTTCTCTTCCATACAATTTATTCAATCGAAACGTTCATGCCTAAAAAATGGAAAACAGTTATTATGGTAGCATATAGTTATAAGCACCGTCGTATAACTCGTACAGCCAGCAGTGAGTAAAATTAAGTAAAAGGACCTATTCAGGTACTAAAAATTATTTAAAGGGACAAAAACAAATTTTCCTGGTTGTTTCGCTTTTAAAATTATTGAAATAATATAATATAATATAAATTATTTTTTTTTATTAATCTTAAGCTTTGCAACTAAGACTATTAGATATGAAAAAATACGGTTCTTTTTTTTTTGTAGGATTTGTAAGATTATGGAGCACGTATGTATGTGTGTGTTATGGATTTGTCACTAAGAACATGTTAGTGACCTAACCTAACCGTATAATACCAGGTCACAATTTGAAATTATGTTTTCATAAAAAATTTTTAAACTATTCATCGGGAAAGTTAGTGCCATTAGAAATTGTTTTAAACAAGTTATTCCTATCAATTTTTACTTAGATCTTAGAAAATATTGATAAAAATAATTAGATCATTTTAAAATTATGATAATACTTTTAGTTATTTTATTTTTTGATTATAATATACGATATGCGTCATATATTACATGTGACCGGATCATTGTTGTCGGATTATCGAAGCTGTTCGATGAACGACATTAATCAGATCAAACATAATATTTATAATTTATTAAAATAACGTAGGTATAATAAAAAATTGATAAGTTATTATACATAAATTTATTTGTTTAGGTCAATATACCGTGTGTTTTGACAGTTAGTTAGTATTATTGACAATATTAAGTGCTTTAAATAAGTACATATAGGTCTGCATTAGCATTATAAATAATAACTATTTTTTTCATAAAATTTAACTAGATATGTAACATGAACATGCACACAATTATGTCAGCTTAGCATGCAATTTGTTCAGACTTCAGTTTGTTCACGATCATTGCTACCATTGTGTGCGTTCATTAGTTTTTATATTTATTTGTTATTTATCTAAGATGTTAAGTGGATTGTGTGAAAAAAATTGGTACACAACTTTTAATTTAGAATTTAATTTAATTCACAAAATACGATTTTTTATATAATTTTTATAATTTACTTAGAATATAACTTTCAAAAGAAACACCAACACATTTTTAACCAGGTGTATACGAATTGCGTTTCCGATAATATTTAACAGCTAGTAGGTTCAATTACATAGGCAACTAATAGCTGTATAGTTTTTCATTCAAAATTTAACGGTATGTTTTATTCTGCTCATCCAAGTATCTGAAATTTTATTAATGTACTAAAAAACGTATAAAAAGATACTTACATAAAAATTCACAATAGTAGTCAAATTAAGAAAATAAGACGTGAAATACGTGAAACACAAGAATTATTAATAAAAGAATAATGATTAAATACGATAATATGAACGAAATAACATGTTTTGATCTTGTCAAAACTATATCAT